TTAGGATGAAAAAAAAAAAAAAAAATGATACGATATTATCTTATAAGTTATACAGTTAATTCTTCAAAGTTGATATTTCAGATAAATTTTTTGGTTTTTTTTTTTTCTTCCTCTCTTATCTCCTCACATGATCTTTAATTTTTCCTCCTTAAAATGCGGTAGTTGGCCTTAGTTTTTATCAAAAATAATCAAACAATTAGCATATCATTGGTTTTATTTAGTTCCTTAAGAATTTGCTATAGTACAGGTATGATTGATATTTTATTAAGATAATGAAAAAAAAAGGAAAAGAAAAATTTAGTCTTAAGAAATCATAAAACAATGTCAATTTTCTTGTTTCATCTGATAATTTATCAAATACTAATATACCTAATATATGCTATTTATTATATTTTTTCTCTTTTTTGAAAGAAATTCAAAAGTTAATTTTGATAATTTTTCAAAAAGTTTTCATTCATTGATAATTTTTCAAAAAATTTTCATTCATTTAGATTTCATACAACAATGAATATTCATTGCATTTTACGAACGAAATTTGTAACTAATATTATTATCGTATCCATTATCCTACATTATGCATTTGCACAAAGAGGACGTAATGTTTTCTTTTTTTTTTACAAATATTTTCTAATTTATTTTATGATATTTTACTTTTCCAATAAACATGCATTAATCATACTTTTAAATTTGTAAAATTAATTAGCTAAATTTAATTCCTTCACATCTACAAATTTTTGAAAGTATGAATGTTTTGAAATTTTGAATAATTATTTCATTCTTTTTTTTTCTTTTTCAAAGAAAAACTAATATTTTTTTTTCTTTTTTTTTTTAACATGTAATCTTATTTTTATTAGCTTGTATCGATGGTGAATGTGCATTGGAAAGCGATGATTGTTACGAAGATCAATGCTATGAAATTGTTGGAGGTAATTGACCTAATGTTTGACCTTTGTTTTTTCTTCGATATTTGAGAGTAAATTTATCAAGTAATTCGTATGAGAAATAATTGCATGCTTTATAAGAAAATTCAAATTTATTTAAAAAAAAAATGAAAATTCAAACTTTTCTTCAACTTTAGCAGTAATAAATATTAAAACTATTAATATTACTAGCAATATTATTTCTATATCTACTTGAAAATTGCATAATTTAACATATAGATTGTGATGGAGAGAAAAAATGTGAACATGACGATTCCAAATGTGTTGATACGGTAAAGAAGACGAATATTTGCATCTGGTTGAAAACACCAGAAGCAAATATTGTCACCATACCACCCATCACAACATCTGATGTCACCTTACTACCCGTTACAACATCTGATGTCACCATACCACCCATCACAACATCTGATGTCACCTTACTACCCGTTACAACATCTGATGTCACCATACCACCCGTCACAACATCTGATGTCACCATACCACCCGTCACAATACCTGATGTCACCTTACTACCCGTCACAACACCTGATGTCACCACGCCAACTATCACAACACGTGATGTCACCGTATTACCCGTTACAACATCTGGTACTACAATACCATCACCAGAAAATGATTGTCAAGATAAGGCAGCATCTGACAAACCATCCGATTGTCCATTATATTCTCACCTTTGTAATAATTCAATTTATGGTGACCTTATGAAGGATCAATGTCGCAAAACATGTGGTTTTTGTGATTCGAAAGTATCAACAACGACAGCACGTAATATTTATTGTTCATTATATTTGTTAAATTTGAATTCTGCATCTTTCATCTTATTAAAATCTTATTACAGTATCTTTTATAGTTGATGGTGAATAACAATATCTTTTAAGAATATTCAAATATTTTTTTCTTACGAATTTTTCTTTAATTTCTATTTTTTTTAATTTCATTAAAATTAAAAATTTTGCATATTTAAAATAAAAATATTTATTTACATAGTTATCAAATCAAATATAAGATGAAATGATAGTTATGATTCAAATACACTACAACAATTATTGATAAATGTGTATTTTATTTTTGATTTCAGCAATTTGTGAAGATAAGAAGGGAGCTGATGGGAAATCAAATTGCCAAGATGTAAAATATCTTTGTCATGTACCATTATATATCTCATTAATTTCTATTCAATGTCCTCATACATGTGGTTTATGTTAATTAAATTAAATCCGAAATTTATAATTGATTTTGAGAAAATATGATTTAATTCAATCCGAAATTTATAATTGATTTGGAGGAAATATGATTATGTATTTATTTTCATAGTTATAATCAAACATGTTTGAATTCAACTAAAAGATTATTATTTAAGTTATAATCAATAAAGTTTCAAATATATTTTGCTTCTTGTTTTGAAAAATAATTTTGCATATATTATAAGTATCGCATTTTATTAGCAAATTATATTAAGAAAAAAAAACAATTTTTAAACCTATACTTGGAATGAAATCAAAGAACTGTTGAAATGAGTAAAGAAATGATAATAATAATAACGGTGATATTTGAAAATACCAATCCAGCGATTGATTCCAAGCTACAATTTACTTCCGATTTACTACTGTAAATAGTTATAGATTTGTAGGATTTAATACCAACTTATTAAACGTAAAATTTTCAATTGAATTTAAAGGTATCATTTCCAGTTTGCATATCTATCATTTTCTTGTCCAATTATATCATATAAATGAAAAACTTACATATAACTTAATTGCTGGTTGAGTATTACAAACATTTCCAAGTAACTATAAATGGTCTTTTTTTCATATTTTCATTTGCGAATAAAAAAAAAAAAATAGTAATAATTTCAAAACAAAGAATTAAATTTACAATTGAATTACGATAAAGAAAAATAGAAAAAGTATGAAGATATGAAATATCTCATCCACATTAATAATTTATGCATTAGCAGTATTTTTATTAGTGATGTTATAGCTGTGTTTTGGATATTAAATAAAATCGAATAAATGCAAAAGCCTTACAATGATTTGTAATATTTCAATATATGTATATTCCATTCGGTATATGTAATATTTCAATATATCAATATATGAGAGTACTTTGCCTTCAATAGCAAAATTGATGTCATGATTTTATTACTTCAGAGTATGATTGACATATGTGTGACATGTCTTGTTCATTGCTTTTAGCTGCAATTATTTTGTAGGTAAGTTCAACTGATAAGATGTTCAAAGGAATTGACAAAATTTTATAGGAATTTATGAAAGGATCGTATAAGGCCGAATGAAATTTTCACTATTAGTTTTC